TTTGGCCTCTCCCGCGGAGCGGGGCTGTGAGCGTTCCCAGAGGGCTCTCAGCCAGCTCCCTGCGCTCCCCAGCGCTTTGGGGACACCCTGCCCCGCTCTGAAGGATCCTCAGGCACTGCAGAACAGTGTTCAGAGTTGTCCTGCTCCTGCGTTTTTGCTTTGGGTTTTTTTACTCACGTGTTTGTGCACCACAGTATTTTGTCTTAATTTGCTCTCGTAATTCACTAATCAGAAGCCACCTCTGGACGGTGGGTGTGCGCTGGGAGGTAGGCAGGGCGCCCAGGCAGTCATGGTCCTTTGGGGTTTTTCAGTTTTGCACTGAAGAAACTATGCAACTGGAGATCCATCCTCTCCCATAAAAGTGAGGTTCACGTTGTCTTTAGTACCACGACCTAATTTGAGTTCAGGGATGAAGAACAGCTTGATCTGTTGTCCTCACTTTTTTTCTTTCTAAATTTAATTTTTTTAACACTCTAGGACATTTTTGTAGCATTACAGAAATTGTCTTGTCTGTTGTTCATGTGCTATGACATGCATAAAGGCTGTGTGAGCTACTGCCCAAGTGAGTGTTTCCCATCACAGTGCTCTGCCTCATGTGACCTAAATATATTTTTATAATAAAACAGCAGAATTGTTGTTGTGGGTATTTTTAACTGAAATTGCTTATTTACTGGAGTAAATGGTGGTGCATTGACTTTGGTGAAAACACTGACGTGCTGCCAGTTGCATGTGATGTGGTTGGTGTTGTATCAGAACAGGTTTAAAGGGAGAGTGTAGTTAAATAAAAATAGGTATAACAGGATATGATCATGTAATGTTCTTTCCCAGCATGGAGGTGTTAGCTGAACAGCCTGATTATTTTTGTTCTGAGTTCTATCCTGTCTTTTCTCAGTTTCTGACTAATACTTCAAGTTGAGTAGTTGGTTACAAAATCATCTTAGATGATTTTTTGTATCATTGTACTGTTAAATATGTATTGATTGATGTGTTCAAAACAACTTGAAGGAGGAATCAAAACAGTTGGAGGTTGTTTCAGTTACATAGTTCAAGGGGGAACTCTTTGTCTTAGGCTGAAAAGTAAAGTTTTAAATGGCATCTCATAAAGCCTCAGTAAATGTTTGGGCTTTGGATGCCCTTGAAGGTAACTTTTAATTTACATGTTTTTTCTTGCTCAGAAAAGAACAAAGAGATCTCCATACATAACAGAGAGACGTAACATGTCTAAGAGTGCTAAAGCAGCTAGAAATAAAGCTGCACAGGGCAAGCCAAATGTGCAGGACTGTGATAAGGCATGCAAACATAGAAACTGTTTGTACAGAGTCTGATTCTTCTTTCGTTTTTAATGCTGAGTACAACTACATGTATGGTTACAGAGGATGTATTTTGAAAAGGGCCACAATGACCTGTCTGTGAGCTTAGATTTTCAGTGACTTCAAATTCCTGTGTGTTGACTTGAGTAATATTCAACATCTATGGTATGTTTCAAAGCAACTGTGCACTTCACTGTTCCTCTGTGACTGAAGTTTTTTATGTCCTGGGTGACTAAATCACCAGATAAGTACTTTGCTTCATGCAATGTGTGCTATAGCTTTGTGATTACTCTTTTTTAATTTGATCTGTATTGCAAGTGCTTTGTTAAATAGGGTGTGAGCTTCTTCAAGAAAGTGCTGGTTAGCTCAAGGGAGGTAAAATGTAGCTTGGATGTCCAAATAGCATTTTCCAGCTAAATACGTAATGCTTTCCAAACTGGCAACCAGGCTCCCTGTGACTGCAGACCTGGTTCCAGGGGTTTTGTGGCATGTCACGTGGCTGTTCGTTTCAGAGTGTTTCGTTTGAACTGGCACCTGGAGACTGGGGTGGTGTTAGTTGAAAGTTCTGGTGGCTGTAAGTGGGCTTTGTTGGCCCTGTGCAGACTTTGGTTTTGGTACAGACACCCCAGCAGGCCTTGCTGTGAGAAAGGTGAATGCTCCTTAGTCTGCCAGCAGGTGTGCTCACTGCCATTTGAAGGAGGACAACAATAGTAAGATCTGTACACTCTTCAGTAAATATAGCTGCTTTAAAAATAAGTGAACAAGGCCTTAGTATGGTAAGTGTTGGTAAGAACTATTAATAGGAGATGATTTTTCTATCAATGCTTTTGCTGCAAAAATCCCACAATTGTTTTCATAGCCTCTGTTGGTGGTAGCAGTGCTGGGAGGCCATGCATGAGCACATCTCTGTGGCCTGTCCTCGTGGCAGGGTACCTGCTGGTGTCTTGTATGGTCAGTTCAACTCAGCAAACAGGTGAAAGAAGGGCAGGATGATCTTGCCTTGTAGGCAAGATCTGTAGGGTTTTTTCATGTTGAAATGTTGAAGCAAGTACTGAGGACTCGTGGGTTGGGTTCAAATTGAAGGAGGGGAAATTTAGGCTAGGTATTTGGAAAAAGCTTTACTGTGAGTGTGATGAGGTAGTGAATGCCCCAACTCTGGTGGTGTTCACAGCCAGGTTGGATGAAGCCTTGAGCAACCTGCTCTGGTGGGAGGTGTCCCTGCCCATGGCAGGGGATTGGGACTAGATGATCTGTAAGGTCCATTCCAACCCTTAAAATTCAAGGAGGGGAAATTTAGGCTAGGTATTTGGAAAAAGCTTTACTGTGAGTGTGATGAGGTAGTGAATGCCCCAACTCTGGTGGTGTTCACAGCCAGGTTGGATGAAGCCTTGAGCAACCTGCTCTGGTGGGAGGTGTCCCTGCCCATGGCAGGGGATTGGGACTAGATGATCTGTAAGGTCCATTCCAACCCTTAAAATTCTGTGATTCATGGAAGTTGCTTACAGCTGTGAATGTTCGATCACGGCTTACTGTGCCACTAAGGAGACAGTGTGTTGGTCTAGTAACTTCTCTCTAGAAGTAAGAAGCAGTGTTACTTTACTCTTAAGTCATCACTCTGTGCTGCTAGTGGTGTCCTTGGTAGAGACAGAAGCTTCAGGTATTCCCTTTCACCCCAGTGCTGCATTGCACCAGGCTGCACAAGGAGTCAGGAACTCGATCACTCTGGAAGAAACAGAAATAGCTAAAATATCCTTGAGGAAGGTGTTTGGGTTGTATCAGCTCCATAACCATGCCACATGATCCCTTCACACAAGTGGAATACCTTAGGATGACACAGATAAGGATACATATGGCTCCAGAGGTGATCAGAGACCTCTGTGGGCAAGACAGAGATCCCTAATTCAGCAGTAGTTTCTTTCTGCTGCTTCTCCAGGAAGTAATGTATTGGGAAGCAATGGCTTTTGTCATGTTTCAACTTCTTGTGAGCTCAATACATCACAAGTTTCTGTAATGTAAAGGTGACTGTCCATCTTACTCTACTCTACAGATCTGCACAAGTCTGGTGGAAGCCCTTGCCTGGCTGGAGCAAGAGTCTTCTTTTCAGCCTCTGTGGTCCGAGTTCTGTGTGTGGGA